AATGAGGTATGAAATAATCAATATTCCCTATTTCTGCCCGGGTATTTTACGTATAATTTATAAGTATTCGGTTCTGGGTAAGGGATAAAATGATCGATTGAATTATTTAATTTATTTTCCGGCAATAATCCACGTTCGGAAAATAACACCATAATTATTCAAACAGTGAACCATAAATGTTATCCTTAACTTTTATTTAAAATTACCGTTCGGGATTTCTAGATAATTGGTTGGTTATTGGAATTTATACTTCTTAATCAAAGTCTTCTCATGTCAATCATATATCTATGGTCCCAGCAAAATCGTGATTCCTTAGTAAACTTTATTTTTGGTCTGAGATTCAAGGTATGTAGCCCTGGCTTTATATGTATGTATATATATACTAAGGAATTTTAGCATTCAAAAAAACCAAATTCGTTATAGGGATCTTATTTTCCATGGGTTCTTCTTGCATTCGATTTCATACAAATGGGTGGTGCTTTACCATGGCACACACTTATTGGAATAGTCACTGGACACATATATTACTTTTTACAAGAGCTTTATCCTGCAAGTGGCGGACCGAGATTATTGAATACACCGCAATGGTTGTATAACCAATTTCCACCTTCTACAACCGGGATACGAACATCTTTCGGTACTGCTTTGCCGCCAAGGAGTCCTACAAATCAACCAACAAGTGCACACCAATGGGGTAGAGGGCAGAGATTAGGAACATGAGATTTTTATGATTTAGCGTTCAACATGCGTAAAGATGATAATGTATATACGAATTTGAATAATTTGAATGCTTTTTTTTTTTTTTTTTTGCTGATCACTGAAATTGGTAACCCGATGTAAATCATATGATAGGAAGTTGATTAAATTTACCTGATTGGGTATCACGGTTTTACCCCGTAAAGGTTGATACGAACATTCAAGTCCGAAAGGGAAATATATTTGGCCAAATTTTATTGGTCACCAGTTGTATAAATTTTTTGTTCAAACAATTTCAAAGGGTTTTAAATCACTTGAATGCAATGTCTGTTAAAAGTTTTACGCTCGACGAACTCCGTAAGTATGACGGAAAAGCTAATAATCCTCTGTATATCAGTATCCACGGCAAGGTCTACGACGTAACAAAATTTAGAGATGAAGTAAGGTTTTGCTTACTAATCATTTTGGCGTTATAAAGAGTAACTGTTTCATTAAGTCAAGCGAGAAAACTATTGCTGACTCAAATTTATTAACAGCACCCGGGGGGCGAAGAGGTCCTTATGGAAGAAGGAGGCCAGGACGCTACTGATGCTTTTGAATCCATAGGACACTCTGAAGATGCCCGCGAACTTTTAAAAACTTACGAACTGGGTGAATTGGTGGGGGTCAGTAAGAAATGATAAACGGAGTTGACACGTTTTTTTTGAGGCTTCGGACAATTTAGTCTTAATGTAATAGCATCTTTATCACGTGATGTAGGGAAGTCCTCCACCAAAAGCAAGAATTAACCCATCTCGAAATGAACCACCACCAAAGGAGGAGTCATCAAGGTTCAAATTAGGAATTTCACCAAATTTATTTATTTTAATCGTCAATATTTTCTAATATGGTTTTTTTCTTTTCCCATTTTATATTATCAGTGTTATTAACTATCTCATACCAATTGTGGTGGTTATAGCTTACTTTGCTTACAAATATATTTCGTCAGCTTGACATATTCTTTTGGTAGTACCCACATATCTTGTAGCGTTGAATAAATTTAATGTATCGACTAAAATAAACACCGAGTAATATAGTTTTGCTTAAATCAATAAACAAACATACATGTAAAATTTCTAAAATATTTTGATATTATTTTAATAACCGGATCATGACCATTTACATGACAGAATCAAAAATCATATATAATGCAAATCTCAACATTAGATAGAGTTAGTCACGTTCGGCCAATGGATTTGCGTGAATGGTCACAGATTTAATTCGAATCTCCTGGATGGGTCTATTCTTTTCGTCAACGGGTATTTTCTCGATAGCATCAAGAGTTGTATCTGTGCCGTCGATGACCCTTTGGAATTTATGTACCAAAAACCGTGGGACCCAATGAAATGCAGGGAGTCAAATTATAAGAAAAGTAAATACTCACTTTCCGAACACTGTGTATTTTGTATCCAGGTGGGGTAATTTAGCGTAGGTAATGAAAAATTGAGACCCATTAGTATCCGGGCCGCTGTTGGCCATGGATACGATGCCCCTCGTGTTGTGCTGTCAGGACGTTTCATATGATGGGATTTTATTTTTCAACGCATTCATACTTTCAAAAAAAAAAAAAAATCGAAGGTTGCGTTACCTTCAAAGACGATTTGATTTCGTCCGCAAACTTCGTTCCCCAAATCGAATTTCCCCCTTTACCGGTTCCCGTTGGGTCTCCAGTCTCTCAACAATTTGACACGTGAATCACACTATTCAGAATAGCGAAAGCATCACATTTATCTTCTTCGGGTCCGCATAAAAAATACCTGCACCATGAAGCCTTTGATATTCCTGGCATAATTGATCAGAGGGACGAATGGTAAGTTCATCTTGAAATTAGGACCGACGGGATCCTGTACATACCTGTGGAATAAATTATTATCATAATATCCGCTTGCGCATAAAGCCAAAAAGTTCTGCCTTGCGAGTAAAGCTTGTTAAAAGAGATCTCGTGGGTAACGGTGAAATTAGATGATGGCAAATTACAAACTTTAGCTGTTTTAGGCACCGCCTCGCAAAAAACTTCGATTTTAAGATCACCGAGGTCTGTATGCAATGTTACCGACTGGAGGCATAGGTTAGTCAGAAAATTTCGGGAAAAAGTACTTCAAGCTATGATCCAACATCCTAACCATAATTTTTCACAAAGGTGCCTTGCTTAAAAATGCAAAGCGATCTTCAAAGATGTTATTTATAGCCGGTTGACATCATGTGACGACACACATTTATGTTTTTATTTGTTTATTTGGTTTTGGACTTTCTAATTCTCACCGCAAATTTCAAGGATATTATTATTTTAACCTTTTAGATTGTAACAATAGAACCTCTCTTTAAAAAAAAAAAAAAAAAATACCGGCTTCTGAATAATAACGCATGGAAAAACCAAACATAAACGATTTGTTTTACTATATAAAACCACGAGGTCAGGGTGTGAGACAAGCGACATCTCTTTAAAATTCAAGAAAAAAAAGAAAAAAAAAAAAAAAAAAAAAATTTTTTTTCCACTCATCCCACTCTTGATCGCCTCTACAGAACAAGAGACATCACAGAACCCTACGGAATGTCACACTCCATTCTCACAAGGCGCCTCTCGGAGCCCGAATGGAACAGGCGGTCTAAGGCTTAATAACTTTGATTTGTCAAGTACCTACGATCGATTTGTTCGACCGTACAAAGAAAAAGGAGTCGAAAGGGACCCCACGTATTTACCATACATCAGTATGCTTCCCGGTAAAGCAGGTTATTCATTTTTAATTGGCAACACGCGTGGCGTGCAAAGGACTTTCTGTCTTATCACATTAGCACTTTCGGACATTGATGATAGGGAAAATGAATATAGTACCAGAAAAAATGAAGGTGCCCGATAAAAGTCTAAAGAAGCTGATAAACAAATTCCATCGAAAATGTAATGAAAAATATGCACCCGAAAAATCTCTGCTTGATTCCAAAGTCATCGAACGCAATGTGTTGAACTTATTTAAACCAGGGTTAATTCCGGGGGTAAGTTTTGAGAGAAAATTATTTCATTTAACATATTTCTAGAATTAGATTCCAAGAAAAATTACTGTATTTAAACAAATTTTGGGGACACGCATGATAGTTTGATCCAGCAGAATTTGGATTAGACGAAGAGAAAAAAACGCATTCGACTTCTTCACAAATCACATCTCTTAATAACAATCGCTCTACGATAAATAGCTCGGCCCAAGGAAATCTGCTAGATAGGGGTACGCATGATAAAATAATCTCATCTGTTTGAAAAAGTCAGTTTTCAATGTAAATAATTTCGAATTGCATAATTCGACTTTGCCGCAGCTCTCTTGGGCGGGGATGAGAAGTCACACGAGAAGAAAAAGGTGTGTTTCCCGTTTTCTTTTTTTGGCGACAAGTTGATACCACTGAACAACAACTTCTCGTGACAATTCATTTAGAAAAAGAAGCATAAACATGAAGTGGATTATGATGGCGAAAGAAAAAGAAAACACAAACATGATAAAGAGCACCGAAAAAGTTCTACGGACGGAGAGAGTAAAAAGAAGAAGCGGAAAAAGGTACGAGTCTGCGATCATTTATCCTACAATTTGTGTTTCTATTAAAAAATTGTTTAACAACCATCTAGGAGAAAGAGAGGTTGTGTTGATTTAATGGTTTTTTTATTGACGTGTAATTCTGAGAAATTAATAATAATAATAAAAAAAAAAAAAAAAAAAAAATCTCAATCTCAAATGCTTTATTGGGAGGGGAGAGTGAAGAGAGAGATGGATTGCAATCAATTATTCTTATTGACTTCTTTATATATAATATAAGTAGCTTTTTTTTTTTTTTTCTTTTTCCTTTATCCTCATTTATTTGTACATATTATATACATCAAGTTTTAATAATAACGTCTAGACTAATTTTACCTCAAATCTGGGGGGTGACAATGTCATTATTCTATTGATATTTTTATAATTATTGCACAATGCAATTTCTCTTGTCGTCCGCGAATTCCACGAGTTGTAAATTTTGAGCGACATAATAATCGTATTCTATCACCAACTCTTCTTCCACAGCGTCAGGATGAATATGTTGTAATTCATAAAAAAGTAAATACGCGTTTTGGCTAAAATTATTGAACAAAAACGTCGTATCTTTTATAGTGTCGAACTTCTTTACGCGTTCGACAAGGTTAAGGTCATCCAGCATAAACCAGCCTTCCTCCTACGTGCAAGCAAAAAAAGGCGAGTTAAAAGCAATCAATTCTAAACAAGGTCATTAATCTCTGGCGATTACGTACGTCATCCAATGTGTAGCCTTTGTAGTGTCCGCTGGTGAGGGTCTCTCCATAGTGACAGACCACCGACCTCAGTTTAAGACGATAACGTATCTCGATGCCGCAATGACAAGGCGGGTCATCCGCTGCTTCTCGGTTCACAAAAGAGCTGAAATCGACGAAAGGAGGGATGTATACGCTCTTCTTTATTCTAAATGGTTTCATCCGTTCATTGTAACCATATCGTTTTAAGATTAGAGGCAGCACTAGATTTTTCTCGGGGAAATGGAAATTGGCGGCATTTATCTTTTCACCTTTGGTTAATTCAACGTCAATATATGATTACCATAGATGTAAAGGTCGAATAACATATAACACACGCACGCACATATATTATAATACCTTGCTCGTTATTCGCAGAGTAAAAAGGTAGGAGTTTCAAAACTTGCCAGGCGGAGACGGGAACCTCCGAATGTCTGACGTCGTCCGTCAAAGATCGCTTTAGTCCAGACACAATGTTATCGTGAAAATGATTCACCAAAGCTTCTTCCAGAGAAACAGGTTTCTCATCGAGCGGATCACCTGGTATGGCGATCTGAATTAAACGTTCGGTGACTACTCGCTCATCATTGGGATCCTCATCTCCCCCGTGGAATAGGTGCATTCCAAGAGGAAGGTACGGGAGTTCGTAGAGGCATGATAGGAACAAGAATAATTCACTGACATCCTCCTGCGTTGGGTTTCCATAGTCATTTTTGCCGATCCAGCCGCAGCTCGACAACCTCTCGCGAAGTTGCTATCACGGAAAATCAAAAAGTTAATGATAATAAGTCAATTAATTGTGCAAGGAGCGAGCACATATACAGTAAATTATCAACCTTGATCATGTAGGCGCTTATATATTCACCGGTTCGAAGCCGATTAACGAATAATCGTAAATGCGTTTGTAAGCCGCGAGCATTTGGGCCCTCGGGTTGGACGAAAAGCATGCCATCGAAAGATTTCGTTCGGGCAAACATTGCAAACAGCAGGCTATCTATAGGTGCGGTATATACAGTATTCAGGTAATAACGAACGTTGAAAAGGCTAATTAATTAAAAAGACAATCTTGAGAACTACTGATTCACTTTTTGCGTCAGGACATCAAATGGCCGGTCCGATTACCTATATAACAACTAGTTAATCGATCGTTTTCTGCTCCCAGCATCACGACAGTTTTTTGTATGTCCGAGATCAAGCCCTCTTCGGCCTCCTCCAAATCTTTACAATACCCTGCAATCTCGGACACGTTCCATGAATTTTGTTCCAACAATTTTTCTATTTGAGCAGTCTCCAGCGGGTGACCGAGCTCTTCCAAATATGTTCTCAGTTGATCTATTCTACTCTCTTTTTCAGAATCCGTTATATTGATCAGCTGCGACTTCGATTTTGGTGTGGGAAACAAGTAATGACTTATGCTATCTTTAATCCTATGTACCGAAGAGCGCGAACGCTTTGCGGGGACTTTCTCCTCTTCGACAGTTACAATTCCATCGATCATTATTATCAAGTCTAGGCAACGAGTTACCCGGAAGGCTTTGTCTATATATGCCTTCCGGATTGTCAAATGATCATGTATGCAAAACAGACACACGGACTCTATTAATAGTTCTTATAAAAGTGAGATATTTTTAGATGATCCTATGTTACACTCGTGTCACCAATGCTGAATTCTGCAAACTAAAATACAATTTATTATAAAAATAAATTAGCGGACACATACAAAAAAAAAAAAAAGCAGAATCTATAAATAGCGCACATATTTTCAATCTCCAAATTTTACAGAAGTGACTTTCTAATTCTCTATGACAACAATCAAGAATGCTTGCTGCTTGAGACACGATTGATATAAGAAAGAAGTTTTCAATGAGGGTAGGGTAAAACGGAAAAAAAACGACACATCCCTTTAGAATCCCCATCAACCGATGCCTAACCATTGGCAATATCTGAATTTGCATGACCATGTATGTCATAGGATTATCAAGAAAAGGGTGAAATATATATATATATATATCTTTTTATCTTTTTTTTTTTTTATCTTTTTTTTTTTTTATCTTTTTTTTTTTCCTTCTTTTTTTTTTTTCTCGATTTTTTTTTTTTAAGGAGAGGGCTCGGCGTTTGATAATAACGGAGTCTCTTCTGTCGCAGAGCAAATATCCCTTTTACAAATAGGGCACTACATATGCACAATGTGAAAATAAATAAAGTTTTTTTTTTTTTCGTAGACTCCAAAGTTAAAAGTAAGAAAGATCGACTTACAAATTTTTTTCTTGTGGTCAACCAGTTATCGATACATATGACGTGAAATTCGTGCTTGCACGGCATAATTCTCAGTTCATCCTCGTCAACATATTCCTCCAGACAGATGGCGCATTCTTGTGGATCGTTCTCTTGTCTCTTGGATTCATAGAATATCTTGGTGGGCAAGTTTCCAACGACCCGTTGCGGTGCGATTTCTTGCTTACGTCTTTGACGTTGGCGAATGCGCCACAGAACATATATAAATATCATCATCACCGTTGGTGACAGGATAACGACGATGATGACGTCCAGTAGAGGCCTATAATTAACATGCATGTTTTTGTCGAATGATGATGACCTATGTTAATTCAATCAACCTTGTCGACAATAGAGAAAGGATCAGTAAGTGAGGATTCGGTATTACCACTGAAAAAGATCATCCTTGACGAGTTGAATTTCCAGGGGTTCATTAACCATCATCGAGAGTGACCGGAGAGTTCTGTATTCACTTTGGGCGACAAAAACTGAAGGAATCTTCACATCGGACGTGTCCCCTGGATAAAAATTTAACAGTTAAGATAACAATAGCCTTTCATATGATAACAAG